ACATTTATAATATATTTATATGATCAATTTATATTAATATTATATAATTTTGATTTATATTTATATTATATAACTTATAGTATAGAATATATTTATTATAAAATATATAATAATATATTATAATTTATTGTATATATTATAATATAAAATATATAATAATATATTTATAATATATTGTATATAATTTATAATATAAAATATATAATAATATATTTATAATATATTGTATATTTTTATAATATAAAATATATAATAAAATATAATATTTATATAAATAACAATAATATTTTTAATAGATATCAAACAAACTTTAGGAGAGTTTTGGAATTAATTAAATATGTATTAATTTGAAGAATTATCTGTTGCACCGAGAATCAAGATTTCGAGGAAATGTTAATTGTTCTTGGAAACTGAGTCTAACAAGTAAAATCTTGTTTAGTTTGTTTTCTCTTTACTTCATTAGGCGCGACAACCTCGCAATCTTAAGAAGCGGAAGTGATTCTGCGTAGGCGGAATTTTTTTCTCCACTTCGTATATCATTTATTTCCCTTTGTCGATATTTTTCCTTCTCTCTCTCTCTCTTCGGTCGCGCTTTAAACGTACAAAAGCGTCTCCGGTGGTCGGCGACGCGGTCGATACTCATAGCGTATCACCCCCGGCTGACCGAGCTTCACCCTTACCTTTGTCCTTATCTTACTGAACCTTTAGACAGATCCGCCAGCTCGTTTTCCTCGCGTAACTTCGCGTCTCTCCTCCGCATTTACATGCAAAACGGCGATACGTCAATTGCCGGCTGGAACGATCTCTCGATGCTCGGCGCTCTTCTGGAAGGAAGAATGTTCCTGGGAATTCGAGGAATTTCCCTTTCATCGAGGAACTCGGGCGAAAGTTGGCTGAATCGTTTTTGTCAATTGCGAGAACTCGCGAATTCATTCTTTTTCTCGATTCATTATTATTTGTCCCGTGACGCGACTTGCGATCAATCTTTGTTTATTTTTATCGAAATTTATTTATTAATGAAAAGTCAATTTTCAGTTTTTTTATTGTTAGATCAAAATTTGGAATAAGCCGTGTGCCACTGTAAAAAAAATATGTAATATATTACACGAAAATATGTAAAAGTACATAAATAATAAGTGTAAAATTATACACGATAAATAATAGAAATTTTTACCTTTTCATTATTTATCATGTAATTTTACATTTATTATTTATGTAATTTTACATATTTTTTTACTGTGTTTCTGAACAGGAGCAAAAATTACATTGTCATTACTTGCTATTTACAATTTATTATACAATTATTATACATTTATTATTTATTAATTATTACACAATTTATATAATTATCAGTACTATTTAATTTTTTTATTTTTTAAGTTTTTTCGAGAGTTAGAATTTTCAAAGATTATTTTAACTTAAAATTCCATGAATTTTTCAAACTGAGTAATAAGCAAGAATTGTCGAGAAAAAAAGAAGATAATTACTTTAACCTTTATTACTTTATATCTTGTAAATTTATTTCTGTAGAAATACGTCTGGAGGAAAGTATTTTGAAACACATCTTCAAAATTATGCAATTACTTACGACTTTTTTCATAAATTGCAAGAGCTCGTTGATTCTTCTCGATTAATTCTTTGTCTCATCATGAAACTTGCGATAAATCTTCATAAAATGTATTCATTAAAGAAAAGTCAATGTTTTTCAAATCCATATGTGTGTTTCTGAGCAGGAATAAAAATTACATATATTATTATTTACTATTTACATTATTATATAATTATAAATACTATTTAATTTAATTTTAATTTTTTTCGAAAGTTGGCATTTACAAAGATTTTTTTAGTATATATTCCAATAATAAATTCCATAAATTTTTCAAATTGAGCAATGGGAAATAATTGTCGAGAAAAAAGAAGATAATTACCTTCTTTAACCTTTAATTGCTTCATATCTTGTATATTTATTTCTGCAGAAACACGTGTAGAAAAGTATTTTGAAATGACCCACATCTTTAAAATTTATGCAAACGCTTATGATTTTCAAGGAACTTTCAAGAAACGAGTAAAAAAAGTTTACATCCATTGAGTCATCCTCAATTTCGATGAAAGAATCAATCGATCATCGTGAAATTGATTTCTCTGAGTTAGGACAAGGATTATTTCTCTGTGCTTGAAAGTCTCAGAAATTAATTCTGTAATATTTTATGTGCGCAATTTTTTTTAATACAAATTATTTCTCTCCAAATACCAAATTATTTGATATAGGTAACATTTACTTATATGCGAAATATATGTAAATTTTATTATTATATTTTATTATTATAAAATAATTATTATATTATTATATAATTAAATATTCTTAGACATATGTAATTAAATTCTATATTCAACATATTTGTTTAATTTTAAGAAAACTTAATTAATTTACTGTGTCAAATATATGAAATATTTCTCGTTACTTATATTTATATTCGATTGTTCCATTTCTTGATAATTGCTGGATCGATTTATTTGGCGAATAATTACTACATTTTCTTTAAATCACAGTAATGGCTGTAATATGTAAATGCGCATGTTCCTACGTAGCAATTAAAGTTAATTAACACTTGCGGATATAGCTAAGTGACGTTCGAGAAATCGATTATTTGTCATTTTCTGCTTACGATAAAAAACGTGCAAAATAAGATGATTTTTTTTATATAAGATGATTTTTTTATATAAGATGATTTTTTTTAATACAAACTAATATATTCTTCTTTAATTTTTCTGTTTTATATGAACGATATATTTTCCCCAAAACATATAAAATTATAAATAGTAAAACCTATATTTTTAACCATTCTCGTGAATTTTACATGATATTTTCTGCATTTTTTTTGTTATTGTAACATGCTTTTGAATTTTACAAAGCGCATATCGAGACATAAATTTACAATGTATGTGCATAGATATGTGCGGTTTTGTAAAATTTGAAAATTCACTGCAATGAAAAAAAATGTGAATAAGTATGAATTTTTAGTCATATGTCATATCGCATCTAAATTGCAATTTTTTTCCACGAAAAAAAAGAACAGGATTTAATTTTTATTTAAAGAAGTTGACTCTTGTTCTCCCCAAGAATTGTCGCGAATTTTTTTTTTTTTTTTTTTTTATATATATACGAACTCCACGAAAACTTTCAGCCGACTTCGGGAAGAGCGAAAGCACTTGCGATCTCCGAATCACGAAAGTTAAAATTGAAGCAAGACGATGCATCGGTGACTTTGAACTCTCTTTCTCATCGTGCACCCGCATCTAAAATTCTGCGAGCCGCTCCCTCCCCTGCGGAAGTGACGTCACTAACCTCTAGTTAGGCGAGGTCGGGATCAGCGTGTCGAGTCCGCATCGCGATTTACTTTAAATTCGATTATTCGTGTAGTAATCGAGAAATTGACACTTCAAAAAACGAGTATATTAATTATTATGTTTATTATTAATTATTATATTATTATTTGTTATTATTTTTAAATTTTATGTTAATAGTATCAGAAGAACAAATTTTTAGAAAAAATTTTTAGGATATTTTGAACTTTTTTTCATGAAATACATGTGTTTATATCAGTTTATATAACTAAATACTTATTTATATTGATTTATATTGATAAATCAGTATCTACATTGTAAAAAATATTTAAAATTACATGTAAAAATATGTAAAATTGCATTAAATTAATTATGTAATTTTACATATTTCTATGTAATATATTACATATTTTTTACAGTGTAATTAATATATGCATATATCAGATATATAAATCTACATGTGACAGAAATCTTATATTTATAATTTTTTAGTGTTACAAAATACAGTGTTTAAGAAAAAAAGATTTTGAGCTTTTTTTTTATGAAAGCATTTTAAATAAAACATTTGTATATTAGCCGCTTAATATTTTGAAAGCTCCCTGAATATGGCATTAGATTTATCGCTTTAAAATAAAGCCTTTATTATTATTAAATAAATAGGAATTAGCATTTGCAATTAGCATTTGCAATAATTTATATGAAATACAGTTTTTAATGGATTTGTTATATTCCTTGATTTATTATTAATTTATTAAATATTCAAATCTCCGTGATGTTTCTGAAATAAAAGGAGTCTGCGAATGTGACAGTAAAACACAAAACTGAAAGTTTGATAAAATACTGTATTATTAAAATCTCGTTTTTTACTCGTTTAATCCTGACGATTTTTCAAATAAAATTACACGAATTTATGATTCGTGAATTAATAAATACCAAGGGAAAATTGTCTCTGCATTCTGTCCGCATGAAATATATATGCGTGATGTTGCAAATACACTTTCGAGAATAAAACTGGAATGCAATAGGTCAGTGGGACGAAGATATTATTAATTACACCAGTGCACCTTGTCGAGGAAACAAAATTTCGTCGATGCGAATTATGTCGGCTTTTAATTTTCTAATGCAAAGTCATACTCCGATATGTGCATTCCGGATGGGGAAAGAAAAGCTCCTGGGAATTTCGTGTCAACGCGTTTTTAAATCGTGTTCACTGACCTCCCAGGCTTACGACCTATTCTAATACAGGTGTATACTCCCTGGAAAATCATGAAATTATCATGGAATTTTGTTCTTGAAAAAATCCTGCAATTATTATGGAATTTGATTTAAACTTAGGAAATTTAAAAAAAAAATTGCCCCTTTGATGTTAAAATATAGTTTCAAAGAATATAAAATTGATTAGTTTTATATAAAGTATTTTAAATATATATTTTATTATAATATAATACTATATTACATTATATTATATTACAGAAATACTTCATTTATGTTAAAAAATTATGTATAACAAATAAAATTTTAAAATTTGTATTCTACAATAAATATTTAAAATACTTCAATTTTACCTGGAATTTTGAACAAAAGTACCTGGGAAATCATGGAATCCTCAGACAATTGATTTCTAAGATGTCTAATTTTTTTTTTTAATTTTTCAGATCGCTCCTTCGACAAAAAAGCTCTGGGGCGTGGACGAAGGAGGCTCCAAGGACGAAGGGGGTGTAAAAGGCGGTGGGACCTTGCTGCACCTGGGCGACCACCAGACCACCATGTGGCGGGATTCCACCTGGAGCACGTCAGGTACGATTCGCGATTATAGTACTGTATTATGCATATATATATACATATATATGTCGAACGGAAGCGGCAGAGTTGCCGCTGTGCGTTTATGAAACTCGAGTACGCTCGAGTGAGGTAATCGAAACCGCGCTGGATAAACGTAAGACTCGCAAACAAGTTGATTCAAAACACCTCCGACTCCGTCGTAACGTTCCAGTGTCGTCTACGAGCGGAATCATTTTTTTATGCTGTAATATATTATTGAATTGTTGGCATCGGTCGGTTTAAATACATCTAATTTTTTGGAGAGTACAAATATTTCGGTAATAAAATGATTTTTCTATTCAGGCTCCCAGCTCCTATTGACTATGTTGGAATTGTGACGTCAGAAGCAAGGAAATACACGCTAAAAATTCTTGGATGTCATTTCGATGAAACAACACTTCAGATGGCATACTTAAAATATCTCGGAAACTATCCTTTTCCTTTTATAATCAATCAACAGTTGTGACATGACTGTTCAAGTAGCAAACTGATATCATTTGACATCAAAATGACGTCATTTTGACATCCTTTCTCTTGAAACGTCATTCGAAAAGAATAGTTTTCGAGGTATTTTCAAAATATGCTAAAACCAACTGAAGAGTAATGTTTCATTGAAATATTTTTTTGTTTAAAAATGGCATCTAAGAATTTTCAGCATGTGTTTTCTCTGACGTCACAATCTAACAGACGCAGCGAGGACCCAGGAGCATTATTTTTTTTATGTATCTAAGAAAAGTTTTTATTAGCAGAAAAAGATGAATGAGAAATTTATGTTGTTAAATATATATATTTACTATACAGGGTATTATCAAAATTACCAACAAATTTGAGGAGAAATAAAAGACTTCAAAATTAACATTTTTTATTAATATTATTTTTCTCTACGATGTTTAGTTTTATACTGTATGATATGAAGTAAGAATTTGATTTAAACAATAAAAAAGCACAGAACAAAAGCATAAAAGTATTCACTCTTTTTACAGTAAATGCTCAAAAATTTCTCCATTAACTTCAATGCAAACATGATAAATTGAAAAATCACAAACTTATATAATTATTGTAAAACCAAACGTTATAGAGAAAATTGGTATTGACAAAAAAATATTTTGAAAGAGTCTTCTTTTTTTTTCATAGTTTGTCGGCCTAATTTTTAAACACCCTGTATATATATTTGTCAGATTAAATTAAATTAAAATAAGATTGTTAGATAAAATAATAACTACTATATATTATATACATATATAAATTTCTTATTTTATCTGACAATCTTATCTTATTAATAGTAACTCTTATTTTATCTGACAATCTTATTTTATTAATAGTAATTCTTATTTTATCTTTATCGAACAAGAATCGCGATTATTAAATTAAAAAGCAAATGGCTGTTAATTTAATAATTATCGATTATTATACGAAGATTGTCAAATAAGAATCATATATTAATAAAATAAAATTGTCAGATGAAATAAGAACTACATATTATATAACAATTATTATTAAATTATTAAACTATTTAATTTTTTATTAATGAATTATTAAATTGACAACCATATGTTCAATAACTTGTTATATCTTTTTTCTTGTTGAATTCTTGTTTAATAATTAAGTATTGAAGAAGATTCTCAAATAGGAACGAAATATAGTAAATTAAAATTGTTAGATAAAAATAAGAATTACATATTAATTTTACACAATAATTATGATTAAACTATTTAACTTTGTTAATGAATTACTAAATTGACAACCATATGTTCAATAACTTGTTACATATTTTTTCTTGTTGATCTCTTGTTTAATAATTAATTATTGAAGAAGATTGATAAAATTTTTAGATAAAATAAGAATTACACATTAATTATGGTTAAACTATTTAACTTTATTAATGAATTACTGAATTGACAAGCATAATATGTTCAATAACTTGTTATGTATTTTTTCTTATCGAATTCTTGAATAATTAATTAATTATTGAAGATTGTCAAACAGGAACGAAAGGATCACATACGAAATTAAATGCACTCTGATCACAAAGCGACGTCTCCGCTTGCGAAAGACGACACGTATCCGTGTAGGAAACACGGAGGTACGAAGCCTCGATGCCGCGTATTTTACGTCGTACACGCTTATTGATTGATACAGCACTAAAAGAACAGCATGTAGATACACATATACGTAGTGAGCTGCTGCCTTTTGCTGGTCCAGGAGGGGGCAGCGTCGAGCTTTTTCGACGTACATACACGACCGATTGAATAGCAACATCGACTAATATTGTAATATACATATATATATATATATATATATATATATATATATATATATATATATATGTAATTCTGAAAAAGACAGCTCTTCCAATATCGTTTTAACTCGTTCTAGGGTTTATTTTATTATTTCGCGAAAAATTTTCATTTGTTTTTGTTTCATTTTATGAAATGTGTTAAAAAATGGTGCTGCATGTATGCAATTTAAAAAGTGGAACAATTCGGATAATTTTTTTTTATATTTTATCGCAAAAAGATTTTTATTTAATTTGAATGTGAAAGTAATAGTTTGGGCAATTTTTGCTTTTTGCGAAATTTATTTTAAAAGTGATAATTGTTTTTTTCTAATTATTTTTATGGTCATTGACTAAATTTATTTTCCTTCCTCATAGAAGAAAGCTTTGTTTTTCTTATGGTGTGTCACTGTTGATTCATTTAAAATATATTAACGTTTAATTTTATTTTATTATTTTTGTGTTTATAAAAAACTCAAAACATGAAACATTAGTGACACGAATTTATTGACATGCTAATGAAGGCTTTCAATTTCAAAGTCACGGAAAATGATACATAAATGCGCTTTCGAAAAACTTCAGAAAATTTATCCGACGAATGTCAGGGCATTTTGACATTTAAAGCTTATATACATATATCGAATGCTTTATTACATTCACAATTTTGAAATTTTTTGGGGGTTGGACGCGATAAAATATTCCAGATATTTTTATTATTTAATCCATATTTTTTATAATAATAATTCGATTTTTATTAATTTATTTACAATATAGTACAATCTGATTTTTATGAATTAATTTATATATAATATACTACAATTCTCTGCCTTTTATTTATTTTTCAGTTTCTAAATGTTTAAATTTTTTGGGGGGTTGAACGCGATAAAATTCCAGATATTTTTATTATTTAATCCATATTATTTATAATAATAATTCGATTTTTATTAATTTATTTATAATATAGTACAATCTGATTTTTATGAATTAATTTATACGTAATATACTAAAATTCTCTGCCTTTTATTTATTTTTCAGTTTCTAAATGTTTAAATTTTTCGTGGGGTTGGACGCGATTAAATATTTTTATTATTTACTTCATATATCATTTATAGTAATAATTTGATTTTTATTAATTTGTGTACACAATCTCTGATTTTTCTGAATTAATTCATATATAATATACTACAATAGTTTTATTTATTTTTCAGTTTTTCATTGAAGTGTCAGATATCTGTCAAACGCAATTACGCGAGCAGCGTACGTCCGGTTTTTAGATGCGCATCTAATGAATGTTAAGGCAAGGCACATATGACGCTGCTGCACGCGCATCCACAGGGTGTGCGTGAAACACCTGATTTCACGTAAATACGGCTCCTCGGTGGCGACGGCGACGGCGACGACGACGCCGGTCGCCGTGTGTGCGTCATACCCACGATGGGTGCAACGCGGCTGTTGCCATGGCGACAGACGCCCGGCATCAGGCGGCGGCGGTAGGGGCAACGTCCCAACGCCCAGGATCGTACCTACCGATCCACCCCGGAGTCGGGGCGAGAGAGAGAGAGAGAGAGAGAGCACCCTCTTCCCTCTCCGGAGTGGCCGGCCGATCGTGTCCACCTGGGCTCGCCGCGTTTGTGTATCGGCGTCATATGGAGCCGCGCGAGAAAGGGCGGAGAAAAACTTCTCTATCTGCACGGGAGCCTAACGGAATCTCGCTCGATAATGCTCGGCGCCGCAGCTGCCCTCCAACTTGCCGGCAAATTGCTATTTGGATAAATTTTATCCCCTCTTTTTTTTTTTTTTTTGTATACGTAGCTCCCTTTCGATGGAATCCTCTCGCGTCAAGGTATCCGCCGGATTGTTAATGGATATTTGTTAATTAGGTCGAGGTGTCTCATATTGGAAGAGCTGATTTTTGAACGGGGTGTAGACTCGCAGGGGAAACCCGGCATTTTCGGGGAATTTGATTGGAATTCAGGAAATTTGGAAAAAAATACCCTTTTCATAATTTATTAAAACGTTTAAATATTTTATAATTTTATTTTGAGAAAATGTGATTTTTTTTATTGACAATCTATTTCAGTATCGAATCTTATGCAAGTTTCATAAAAAATTGTTCAATTTTTGAATACGTAATATTTAAATAAATTAGTATTTCTTATTTAATAAAGAATTAATTTGAATAAATTATATTAATATTATTAGGATGTTTATAATAAATTATTTTTTGTTTTATATTATATATTTTTAATTTGGATGCCAAAACTGCTCTTGATAACTTTCTAATAAACAGAAAACATTCAAAAATGTATAAGGAACTTTTAAAAAGCTGTACCTACAAATTTTACCTGAAATTTTTAAACGAAAATACCAGGAAGATCGAGGAATTTTTTTACAAAATTTTACTAAACATCTCTTTTTTTTATTAAATATTTACTGGCGAGGGAAAAAGTTATCCGACATCTTTTATGAAACGAATAAGTATGATAAATAAGTTAGCTGGTAAAGGAAAGTAGGAAATATAAATCTGAAAAATCCTACGAGACCATGTGTACGAATCGTACAAATTCCTTTATAGCGAGAGAAGGTGTTTATATATTATGTATTTGTGTCTATTGATTCTTCTTTGTATTGACTCGCGGAGAGTCGTCGAGAATGCTTTCCTCTGTATAGAGAAAGTGTACTATATATTTCCCACAATAATTTGTGTACGCGATTTTTTTCACTCACCTTGATCAATACTGGGGTGTACGAGCGATTAAGAGTATTTTTCGCCGCACCTGTCAATATTTCTGACTTGCATACCTACCTTCCGGGTGCAAGATGGCTCTCTGATCGCGCAAACAATCCTTCGTAAACACTGGCATGTACGTATTTTTGTCCTTTGCAGATCATGCGGTGTCGCAGCCAATATCAATGGGCACGGGTAGACGTGTGGGAGTTGGGACGGGATATCATCATCAAGCGTCTGAAGTCGGGACAGTGCTCAGCCCCAGAAGCAGGTCAGTATGTCTCTTTTGGTATTTTTTTAAATATTTTTTTTGTACCCACAATTTACCGCGAGTATTTTACTACACACTTACGGAATCCAAAATAAGACGAGCGAAACGTTGATGTTGACGTTCTTCGAGTTGTAGCTGAAGAAACAATGATAATAAATAGATGCCGATTTTATTCATGCTTCCTAACTTTCGATTTTAAACAGGATATATACTTCCGGGAAAAACCTGGGATTTTTTTCTACCTTGACAAATCCTGGAATACTCGCATGGAATTTGTTTTGAACTCAGGAATTTTTAAAAAAATCGCCTGATTTTATTTTCAAATATACTCATAAACTTTATTAGGTTTATATAAGTATATTAAGATATATTTTATTATATATATAATATTATATTATTATATTAAAACATATTTTATTTATGTTAAAAAAAATTCTTTAAATACTTTAATTTTACTTGGAATTTTGAACAAAAGTACCTGGAAAATCATGGAATCCTCAGGGAATTTATTTATAAGATTTGAGTATACACCCTGTTAAATTTATTTAATTACTGAAACGAAGTTTTAATTAGTTTAATGTTAAATTTATAGAAATTTATCAAATATAGTGCTTGTAAACTTCTATAATTTTTTCCTCATTAATTCGCATATTAGAATTTAACTCTAATAGCACCGTGTTTTTCTTCTACAGTGAAACAGGTGGTTTGGGAGTTAAAATGGTTGAATATGTTCTTGGATCGAGTCCCACTACACCAAAAGATTTGGAACCTCGAATGGTTTCTCTGAGATTGGTGAGTATTTATACGCGATATTATAAAGAATGTTTTGTATCGTTTTACCATTTTATTTATTTTGATTTCTTTATCACAGAATGCCGATGCAGATAAGAAAGAAAAAGAGAAGGGTTCGGCAAGTCCCTTTGATAGTACAAAGGATGACACTGGCCCACAGGGTAACGGATTAGCGTCTCAAAACGGTCTGGACGAAGATAAAGGCTTCAAGTAAGTTTTTATGACATTTATTTTATTTATTATAATATTTAATATTAGACTATTAGAAACTATTTCACATATTAAACGTATACAAAATATTTAAATATTTGTTCCTTCGAGTATAAATTGATATTTAATGTGCGAGTTTATCTTTTATAAAAAAGTAATTTAAAAAAATTTAATTTATTCAAATATTTTAATGTGTAAAATTAAATCTCTAAATTGATTATGCAATACTTGAAATTAATTTCGAGATATTAAATTTTTTTTTTTTTTTTACAAACTTTATTTGCAAACAGTTTCTTTTATTAGTTCTAACTCTTTTTTACTCTCACATTAAATATCAATATATCATATAAATACTGAATAAATACAAAAGAAATATAATGCTGTTAGAAAATAAGTATTATAGCTATGTATGATCCTAGGGTTTAGCGAATCATGTATAAACATTATTTTGCAAGAGATTATTCACGAAATTATAGCAGAAAGAGCACTAAGGTATAAGCAATTTAACAATTCGTCACGTGTGCCATGTACGAGAGACAGAGAGAGAATGCGATTTCTCGCTCATTCATTATAATACTATCTTAACTTTCTTATATGTCACATCCATCGCGCAAGCAGCACGACGAAATAGCGTAATAACGATAACTGTCAAGGGCATGTTCCACACGCGGCCGATGACATCACATTCTCTTTCTCTCCCCCCGCTGTTTCCTTTCGCGATAACCCGCCGTCCGATTTCCAGCAGCGTCGCGCCATCGGTAGCCCTCGACAGAAAGCACAATCCACTTTGATATTACCGACATCACCTTCCTTAGTTGCCTCTGCTATTTTTATATTAAAACTTTTTTTGTTAAATTTTTATATTAAAATTCTTTTTATTAAATTTATTCAAATCGCAATTTTTACAAATTTCGTTTCTAAAATGTTTGAATTTTTTGAGTTTTACTTGCGAATTTTTATTTGTAAATAATTAGTAAAAAAAAAAAAATTAGAAATTATATGAAAATATATTTGACGACACAAGGAATCTTTCACAAGAATTTTTATTTTAAATTTAATAATTATACTATATTACTAATTTTAATAATTACTATGTATTACTATTTTTAATAATTATACTATATCATACTATTTTATACTATATTATTTTATATTTTATTATTTTTATTTTATATTATTTTACACTATATTACTTTATACTTTATTTATACTTTTTTACACTTTATTTAATAATTATTTAATATTACTCTATTTAAATGATAAATTATTTTATACTGTATATTTTAAAATTGTTGTATTGATTAAAGCTGGAAGTAGTGCAACCGCAAGAATGTAGTTTACTATTGCAGTTTTTGCGTAATTATGATAATGACATTAGGTCATCGTTGATGATCGTCATTGACGTGCACGAGCATTACGTGCTTTCTTTTCTCACGAGATCAGTAACGCAAAGTCGTTTAAACTACGGATTGCGTCCTGTTATATGCGTCACTATTATGCAAAGTGCACCGTTACATGACATGCAGTCAATTGCATAGACATAGAATTTCGCGTGGTTTCTTTGTGCGAAATTATTCATGGATTGGTCACAGCAGGACTCTCAACTCTTTCTTCAACCGCCTTTTATTTAGAAAATAAATTAAACGTTGCACGTAGCAAACTGAAGATTAGGAAATTATTATTTAAATTCAAACATTTTGTAACAAACCAGAGAATGACGCGAAAAATATTTGTAACAACAATTCCAAAATACAACACAAAATATGTACATGATTTATTTTCTTTATAAAAAATGTAACTTATACTTATATCACATCTCTTCATTCAATCCAATTGATTCTTATATATTTTTCAATTGCAGTCGCACACCCGGAAGCCGCCAACCGTCGCCGGGCGAGGAGGAATTTCAGAAGAACGCCGCCGCCACTCTGGCGGTGAGTGCCGGCGGTGGTGGCGTCGTGCTGCTGAAACCCGGAGTCGACGTCGTTGGCAGCGAGGAGCATTTCATGGCGGCGTTCGCACCCGCGCCGCCGCACCATCTGCAGCACCATCAGGCTCCGCCGACCCATCACCTGCAACATCCGCACTCGCACGCGGCGGCGCAGCTCTTCGGGGCGCAAGCTCCGCCACCGCCTCAGGGTCCGCCGCCCTCGCAGCAGCAGCAGCAGCAACAAGGCCCACCGCAGCCGCAGGACACTACCACGCATTTCGACGTCCAAGTGAGTCCATCTTTTGTCTCTTCTGCTTCTTAAGCCTGCTGCTTCCTCGCTGACCATGTTGGAATTGTAACGTGGAATAGTTTTCGAGGTATTTTGAAAGTGTGCTAAAGACCCAAGTAGCAGACTGACGTCATACATGTCAAAATTGTGTCACTGACGTTTCATGACGTCAAAATGACGTACGCTTGCTACCTGGGGAGCCATCTGAAGTAGCGTTTCATCGAAATAGCTTTTAATTAAAAATGGCATCTGAGAGTTTTCAGCGTGTGCCTTTTTCGCCTCTGACGTCACAATCTGACATGGCTGCGGCGGGGACCCAGGAGCCTTGAGTATTTTGTTGAACGTAGGCGAGACTAGGCGAATGTAGATTGCGCCTTCGATTTGATATTGGAAGAAAAATTGAGATTGCGAGTGCTTTCTCGTAATTAGGTGAACATAATTTAAGTGCTTATGGAACAGCCAAGTATATGCACAGAACTAAATTGATATATAATGCAGGCGTAAATAGGGTGTATACTTGTAGGGTAAATCTTGAAAACCTGAGGAATTCTCACGAAATTTTGTTCAACTTTGAAAAATCAGGGAATTCCCATAGAATTTAAATTCAGGGAATTTTTTAAATTATCCTTTTGTCAATTTTATTTTTATTTAGCATTTAAGAAAAATATGTCTAATACATCTTGACAATATTTAAATTTTTATTAAAACTTTGTGATTTTTTTATTGACAATTAGTATGAAATATCTCATAAATTTTATAGAAAATTATTCAAATTTTTAATAGATAATATTTAAATAAATGATATATTAATAAATAATTAATTTTAATAAATTAGTATTCCCTGAGACGTTTATATTTTTATGGGGGAATTCTCAGGGAATTTTTTTTTACCAAATTTGATTAGACACCCTCGTAAATAATGTTGGCTTAAAACATTTTTTTCATCTTGCGGATTTCTTACAAAACAGTTGTAATACCGTGTTTTATTGTCGTAATGAGATTAATCTCGATTACGTAAATGTTCATTCTACCTCTTTCTCATACGATTTTATTTTCCGAGAAATTTTTCTTGACGCCCACACAATATGAAATTACCGGAGACGTTATGTGTAATCATCTTAGGAGACATTGAGAAACTTCCTATATAAAGAGTAGCTTTTACTTTCATTAACTATTCTTTTATCTCGAAATGAAGAAAGTAACTTGTATCTCTAAAAAGAAAAACTATTCTTACTAAAGATTAAATTAGTTATTGCTTTTCCTTTTTTCTCATGCAGAGAAAAGAATTTTATTTTCTCTAAATATTTATATATTCATGAAATATTTCCAAATAAGGAAACAAAAAGAATCCTTATGTCGTTATTTATAAAACAATATTTTAAGATATCTCTGCTCATCAACAATTTTTAAAATACTCTGCTATTTAAATCTTCCAAAATACTTCATCACTATATTTGCGCTGCTCAGCTGAAGAAAAACTTATTTTGACGACATATTTACCCATAATTATAAAGAATTCCAATTACTATAATGGAACTAAATCTCCAAAATAGGATTTAATCTTCGTATCATTTTTAAACTTTAGTCGCAATCGCATGAAACGCGATTAAAGCATTACTATTTTCGAATATAGCCAAGTCGGAGAAAATAGCTAGGCACACATACATACATACTGTTTTGCGCCAACATTTTATCGTTGTGCGTCATATCCTCGTTTTCGATGACAGGACCGATTCGTTTGGCTTCGACGCAAGTATCGCTTACACCTGATTTTTTCTTCGCTTCGTATCTTAGAGTATATTTCCTCTGATCGAGAGAACCTTTTCACAAAACCAAGAATTATTTTAGACAAAATGCAAAACTATATTGTGCGCTAAAAAAAATAAAAGATGTTCAAGTAACTTGAACGAGAGAAAAATTTATATAACAAGCTGTATATGCAAAAGGAAAAAAAAACATATTTTTAGAAAATAAAATATTAAAAATTAAATAAAATAAATTAAATTAAATTGAAAATAAAATTAAATAAAATATTAAAAATATATTTTTTTTTATTCAAAGCGAATATCTCAAAATAAATTAATTTTGTCAATGATACCACTCGCGCGACCTTGATGTAGTATAATATTCTTGAGAGCATACTTTTTATCCTGTTCGACCTCATAAAAGGCAGCCCTCGCGATAATACGTGGCGATTTAAAGGAGGGGGACCTGTATAAATCATTGAGTGACAGCTTCTCGACGTGTCTACTTTGAGCATCTATTCAGAAAATAGAACAGCTGTATATCTGTACCACACCGAACGTTCTTGCATCTCGTCGAAGTGTTTATATTGGGACACTTCATCCACAGAGCATGATTATGTTCTCATTATTAATTTTTTTGCAAACATGTTTGGCACAATTTTATTTAACTCTTTATTGGCTATACAGAATGAAAAATCCTTTACTAGAATTAAAGTATTCATAATAAAAAGATCTAGGCTACTATATATATATATGTATATCAAAAGAAACCAAGAAAGTTAAATACAGTTTATACAAAAGACGGATAAAAAAACTAATTATTTATTTAGCTTTTTTTTATATACATATTTAATAGCCTACATTTGTTATTATGAATTTTTAATTCTAGTGAAGGATTTTTTATTCTATGTAGCCAATAAATAGTTAAATTTGTCGATCTAACTTTTTAACACTGTATAATAAATATGTATATTTAATAACATAAATTTCTCATTAGCAATTTTTCATCTTTTTCTGTTAGAAATAAAAAAAATTTTTTAGGTACATAAAATAATTTAAAGCGGCTGAGAATCCTGCGGTTATGTTAGATTGTGATGTCAGAGACGAGAAAACACACTGAAAATTCTTAAATGCCATTTTTTAAATGAAAAGATATTTTAATGAAACATTAAAGACATCCGAAGTGCTGTTTCATCGAAATATCTTTTCATTTCGAAATGGCATCTAAGAATTTTCAGTGCGTTTTCTCTGACGTCACAATCTAACATAGCTACAGTGAGGACTCAGGAGCCTTAAAATTATGTTTTTATCTAAGAAAATTTTGTTTATTCATTTCTAGCAGAAAAAGATGAATGAGAAATTTATGTTATTAAATATATATATATATATATATTTTTTTTTATACAGGGTGTTACAAAATTATCGACCTAAAAACCTTAATATTTGACATTTGGAGCGAAAGTTCTCCCTTTGAAAGACGTAAAACAGCGTTGAATAGATTCTCTTCCGCGTTGATTAAGGCTGATTGAAATGAGGGAACCCCCGTGAATAAAGAAAGACAGGACAATTGTAACACGCTTTCTTGCCTACGGGAAATAATAGCCACCATTATTGTTTTCGAAGGGGAAAAACGCGACAAACAGTTTCCATGCAAAAAAACAAAACTCTTACAGCAGAATAGATTATTATCATCAGTCGTAATTGACTATAATGGTATTTTTATCTCATGGCAACATATTTGTCGGTATTTTAATTATTAAGAAACCGCGTATAATGACACTTTATATTTGTATCTTCTGATTATCTGAAAATATGCCTTAACAATACTCATAATAATATATTCAGAATATACCTAATTAAAATTGTAAAACGAAATTATCTACAATGTCCCTGAGGACTTTCAATGCAAATGTGAGATAAATATTATTTTTATTTATTTAACTACTTATTGACTACAGAATGAAAATCCTTTAGTAGAATTAAAGTGTTCATAATAATATCCAAGTTACTAAAAAAAAACAAGAATAATTTACATTTTTTTTTATCGGTTTTTTTGCATTAGGTCGACCTAATCTAAATAAGAAAAATATAATTTATTAAATTTTATTATTACAATTAATTTATTCTAATTATTAAAATCAAATTTTTAATTTTAAAATAAAAATTAATTTTTATTAAAATTAATTTATTAAAAAATAATTATTTAACTCTTTCTTGATTTCTTTTTAAATATAGCAGCCCAGATTTGTTATTATGAACACTTAAATTCTAGTAAATAATTTTTCATTTTGTAAAGCCAATAAAAATTAAATGAAAATAACATTTGTCAGAAAATAACAGCCATTTAACTTAATTATCTGCAAATCTCCTGCATTAATTACAATTTGCTGTTGTATGATTAATTTCAGAAAGTGAGATTTAACTAGGATTTAAGGTACCGACAGATAGTTGCCAGGTACGCGATGGCGGAATGCTACAAGTCTCTCCTCGGATTTTCTCGCTTCTTCTCCCTTTGCTCGGCGTCTCACGCCTCGATGAAAACGCAAAATGCGGTGCAAAGTCGCCGGCGACCGTGAACGAGACTAGATGCCTGGAAAAAGATAGACGCGACGTATTAATTTTACCTGACAAGCAGGTTCCACTTCCGCGAATGTATGCAGCAGTTTAGAGAGAGCGAGCATTTTTCTAACATCTCAACTTCAGTCGCTGACAAATCTTTTCTCGAGAGAACGACGGATAAGGTTTTTTCTTTCAACTAAAGTATAAGACGCTATAGATTAGAACGATAAAATTATATAGAGGGTGTCTCGTTTTAATTTTTTGTTGAGAATTTCTCGAAAACTAAGATTTTCATCGAAGAATGTCCAGAAATTTTCGAGATTTCATCATTGTTACTTTTTTAAACAGAACCATCTTAATTTTCTTATGTAAATCGACTCCTTATTTGACGTAGAAAAATTGTTAGAGTGAAATGTGAATTATTTACAAAATATTTTTTATGCTTTATTCTGACATTTAAAAAAAATATAAAATATCTCGCATTATACTTATTTATAGATAATCTTACCTTAATAATTTTTTACGTAGAATAATGAAATAAATCAATTGATGTATAATAAAAACATATAATTGTTTAAAAAATATATGCGCATTGCAAATTGCGATTTTTTAAAATTACAAGAGTATGTTTTTCTCAAACCAATTTATGCAGAAAATTATTAAATTATCGAAAAGTGTGAATATATTTTGAGACAT